AACAAAGAAATATCAGTAGTTTACTTATCTTTGTACGTAAGTGTCATAAAATGAACCAACTGAGCAGTATGATACAATTTTTGTCAGAAGTCATTAGTTGCATGTTAATAATGTGATGCAATTTAGACATTTGTAGTTATAAAATTGTATTGCCATTGGAAACAACTGGTATCATAGATGGTGTTGTAGCTATAGCATAATAAAAACATATACTATAACTAAGTATGATAAGCATAAAAGTCACATATATTTTATTCACAGCTATATCTTATAATAATCTCAGCCATAGCCAGCATTTTTATTTGGTCATGCTATCCCAATGTTGCTGTGTTCACTCACTGTGCAAACAATAGATTTCTAATGAAATAAGCAATCATGCAGTGAAATTTACATAGCAAGTGTAAAACATTCAATCTGGATATGCCACCGATGACATCCATATCAAATATTTCATGAGATAATATATAAATTTAATGAACACCTTAGCTCTGGTAAAAAAAATACTTCATACAGAGCTTTATAACTCTCTCAAAAAATAGTATTGTAACAGTATCTTGGGTTATGTGTTTGAATGTTATTATGTCAGATTTTGAAATAACCACTGGTAATATAACAAGCTTCTGAGCATAAGTTCCTTCTCTTTCGTTGAACCACTTAGCTGTAAGATCTTGTCAGTAGATAATAGCGCTGCAGTGTTATGTATCTCCTTGCTCCTATTTTCATTCATTCAAAGTCGGATGGCCTTTCTAAACCGTGTTTGAATCTCACATATCTCACATATCAGTACGAGTACAGTGGGAGTGCTTTCTCGATTAAGTCGCTTTTTTGTCAGAAATATTCAGATTGATTCCCCAATCTTTCTGTAAATTGTCAATATGACATATTCCGATGCGCAACAAATCAGTATGGGAGTTAAAGCTAAAAAAATCTGTTTCTCTTAGTGGACAAACGACCAATTTACACAATATTTCGAAAGCGATATTTTCACCCGTATTTCAATTATAACTGTCCATTATGGTTTCAAAACACTTGCAATAACGATTTGTTTCCAATAAAACTTCATCGGAAGAGTTTGAAAACAATGAGAAGAAGTAAATTGCGAAAAACATCAATTGCCCTATAGTGACTCTATGTTTTTTGCCCGGTTCCCACGCCATCTTGGATTTATCATGGATGTCACGCAATATGGTGGCTCGTCAGCAATCTAGTCCTATTATATCTATGGGCTCTACTGTATATTCTCTATACTTTGACACCAATGTTTTTCTTATCATCGTCAAAATATATTTAATGGTGTGTCGTTGACTTACCGTTATTCATGATCAGAAATCATTAAAAGAGTACACTTAATTACTCGAGTAAACAACAGCTCAAAATCTTGATTTGGTCACCATATTCTTGACTTGCAATTCAGCCACGTTGGTGGTCTGATACAAACAAATATTTCATCAGTGTTATTGGCACCAGCCGACATGAGCGAGAAACATTGATTGGTAAATCTCAAGAGAGTGGTTGCAAATCAAGAGTTGGTGGTCTTAGTTTAAACAATATTTTATCAATGTTATTGTGGGTACCAACGAAGGCGGGCAAACGACATTGTTTGTAAATCTGCATGAAATGATTGCATGTCAAAAATATGCTGACTTAATTAGATCGATGACGAGAACGTCAATCAGTAGTCAATTTTGCCAAGCAGTGGTCCAAGACATTGAACTCAATAAACTCAATATATATTCATGCGTGTAGCTACATATGCATCAAAAAACTGCAAGCCTTTAAAATTGTTTGAAGTTTAGAAGTTATAACCTTGAAACGAAGCTCATGGAAGGATTAAAACAAAGTGCAGTTTTGCGTTTGGTGCAGTTTAATGGTTTATTACATAAAAGGTTTGAACATACTAAATCTGACTGTAAAGGAAACTATCTCTTGCTTATGGAACGATATAATAAGTCCTTTAAGATGATTTAAAATTGAACTTTAAGCCCGTTTCAAACGTCAAGTTTTGCACGCACCGAATGCATTCAAGACAAAAATAATTGAGATGAAATTCATAATTATTTTTTGTTTTAAATGCACTCGGCTCGTAAAAAGTTCAACGTTTAAAATGGGTATAACTCTCTCAAGATGTGTACATCTGCTTACTCTTGAGTCCATGTAGACAAGCTTTTGAACAGCCACTGTGAATATGAATATTACAGCAAAAAAACGACGTCACGCTAATCATGACGAAAAAAGGTGCCAAAGATGTCCTGATTACTTCTGATGTCTAAACTTCGCAAAGACTCTTGAAGAGATAGACATTCACTAAAAAAGGTGATGAGGGGGAGAGGTCCTAGACATACAAGTGGTTTCAGTTTCTAAGTAGGCCTAGCAATAAGTGAAAGGATAACAAGGAAAGTCCGAGAATGCTTCCTGTTGGCGATCCAGTGGAGACGGGAGACTTCGTAGGTCTTTTGACAACGATGCACTACAACTCTCGATTAAATAATCCGCGAACCAACATGAAAGAGATCCAGTTTAGACATATCAAGATGTTTTCAATTAAGCATCGCATAGTGAGCGGAGTCCTAGACCTTTGAAAAGTTAAGGTACGTGATTTCTGAGAAAAATGAAGGAGAAATAAAAGCTGGTCTCACAGGAGCAAACGTGAAGAAACCAATCTTTGAAAGAGCTGAAGAGGTTGAATATACGATCATGAAATCATAAAAAGACGGAGCGATGAAAATATGGGTCTATTTTTCTCTGCTGGTTCCCACGAATCTTTATTGTGTATGGGAGTCATATATGTTGATTTCCCCATGGAGAAAACGCTAGTGAGCGATTCAAGATTATTTATTGACTATTCAATGTGTATCTAAAGTACCTACTATATATGTTACATCTGAAAGTAGTTCTTAATTGGGTGGTGTTGAAAATTGATGGTTGTGATGAAGTGAAATGTTAGGAATGTTAAGGTTGTTTTGGTAGTATTTGACTACGAATGACTCGAACGATAATAAACAATGTGGAAAAAACTTCATGATGTCTTGCTCTTTGATACCTTTGCTTTCCTGTTTTTTCAATCCTCTGTATTCTTGATGTGCCATTTAACTGCACATCGCCCCTTGTTACGTCACCCAAGACTACTGTGGTGGTGGGGGGTGGTGGGTGTTAAAGTAGCCTATCGTCTGAGTGCATGAATTAGGTGAGGCACTTGGCCAACGCATTTAACCCAAGAATTGTGCAAAATACCTAATTTCCAGTGGCATATCTAAGTCTGAGTTCAACAATATGATAGCTTGTTAATGAACGTGTTACTGCATACCAACATTGCCAAATAATGAAACCCTATTATAACTTTAACTGTCGTGTGTAGATATTTTAGTAATGGCTTCTAAAATGAATAAAAAAACTTATAACCTCCTTTTTACAAACTAGTTACGTATAAAAATGCAAGATTTAAAGAGCTTATATTTAGAGACCAAATAAAACTTTGTAACGAAAAACAATACATTTACTCAGCACCTTACTCAGTTAAGGAAGCTTGTTACAAGATTACACAAAATATGATACCACCATGAAACTTTTGGAAATTAGGTTATTTGTGAGGCTGAACATGGTAGGATATGGAAAGAAGCTGGAAACATCCCTTTTTAGAAGTTTTATGCCTGGTTGTCAGAACTCAGCCTTCTATGACCGATCTTACTGGAAACTGATTGCAAAATATAAATGGCACACTCTACAAACGATTAGCTACTATAAAAGGCAGGAAGATAACTCCCATTGTCAGTATTAGATTTACACTCTTCGAGATTACTCTTAAGACAACTTCATCCCAATTTTTGATTGAAACTTCCAACTTCACATTCAAAGAAGTCTTGGCTGGCTGTAAATTATAATTGTAGTTAAAAGAAGCTGTTAAATTACAGATTTTAAAGTTGTATTTTCTTTAACTGCATCATGTCAGGGTGAAATGTCCGTTTATTGAAAAGTTGGCTATACTAGTAAAAACCTGGACTTCATAACATAAGTGTTCAAGCAAGAACTTGCACATTCTGTGGGTGTTTGCAGACCCATACGCCTATGGCTTCCCAAGCCCCTGATTTTCATGTTCTTGTTAAAATCCGTAAAAACAATATATTTGAGAAGGAATTTATCCTTTGAAGCCAGCACTTTTCAAATTGACCCTTACTTGGCTTTGTGATTGTGCCTTATTTGTCGCCATGGACAATGGCAAATCATGCTTATAAGAATAATCCCTCATCCCAAAAAATATGATTGAAATTTTCATATTGTGGAAGCGACAATGACCTTTATGATTTATTTAGCAAAGTACTAGTAGAATATTAAGAAATATATATAAAGTATAGCTAGTAGCAAACCTAGCCCAATCTTTTACTCCTACAATGCAAACTTTCAGTAAAATTAGAATAACAGCTTATGAAGTTGATAGATTTATTTGATTGTATTTCTGACGTTGAACAATTTCACTGCCTTTTAATACAAAAAAAATCTAACCTGCTACGATAGTAATCCGGTATAGTGTAAACGTGGCTTGAGTACAGCACAGACATGACATGAAGCAATTTAGCGACAAATCTTAAAACTAATCAATATGTTGATACTATAACTAAAATGTTTTGATTGTGTTGATATGATTATCAAGAAATGCTCATATATGTTGTTCGTCCATCGCAAGCGATGATGACCTTGACCAGTTAACTCAAGTACTAGAAGATTGGGTACGGTGTGTTCTGAGGTGGCTAATGAGCCCAATCTTGGCACGGAATGTTCTTGAACACGAAGGGCAAACCAGAGATGCATCTGATGTTGAAGCACTGGCTGCTCTTGATTTCCGCAGCTCACGTTTCTGTTTGGCATCCACAGTCCGCCTTTCTTCTGATGCTTGGCAGCCCTTAAAAATGAGATCGCGCCAGGTTGATCGTGCTATTTGATATGCTAATACACGGTGCTAATTTGATATAAACTCAGTCTCACAATGTTCTCAGTGAAACATTTGAATTTCTACACTTAAAAAAATCTTTACCTTCATTGCAGCTGTTTCCACTCGTAATTCAAAATCGAATCAGCCAAAGTACATTGGTTCATGCATTTCAAGGTCTCCACTAGCTTGCTCCGAAATTCAGTTTTACACTTGTTGGACAAGATTGACAAAATTTTCTCTGCCTTTATTTGTTCATTTTCATAATTCGTATCTGTTTGCACATTCTTAATTTCATAAATTTCCAAATTCATCAAGAAAGCCATTGTATCCCAGAAACTTGCTATACGACAACTCAGTTGACATATTTCCCGAGTAGTTAAAACATCTTCATTTCTGCTTGTCTATGAAAAGTTTAAATGAAAAGGATTGCAAATTTGTCATTGAAAATAAATTTTGTTCATCTAGCGCGGCTTAACACGAAAAATGATAAATTCTTGGTGTGCAAGTTACGTCAGAGATGCCATGTCAGAAGATTTTAACAAAGGTTTTCCCTTATTTAGAATGCAAATGTCATGCATCATGGTGAATATTCCATTGTTCTCTCATTCCCAGGGAAATGGTTGCACCCCACGTATATTACTCTGACATAGTTCATACTTTAATGAATTAAATTGACAAGTAGAGGATAAAACAAGTTCCAAACGTATAACGATAGACAACTTGCAACTAGGAGAGTTTTAGTACTTAGAGCAGTTAAGTATGTGAAATATTATACAGTGGTGAACTGCTCTGCAAAAAAATTGGTGACAATGTGTGCCAAAATATTGAATAAATACCTGTTTTGTGGGAGCCAAAATTTCATCCAAATAAAGATATTTTTTTTCAAGGCATTTCTTCAATAAATGTCGATCGAAATCTGTTCGTTCATTAAAGACCTCCAAAATCTTTTTAGCCTTTGCGGAAGGATTTGGAAAACTTTTGTGGTTAACATTAATTTCATGACGTTGTTCAATAGGTATTTCAAGAAGACCACCCAGTTCATTCCAATCAGTTGCAGCTTTCTGACTAATTTTCTCGATTTCCTCTGTTGTTAGTTTAGTGTAACGAAGATCAACTGAAACGGATCAACAAACAACATAAATACAACACTAACATTCTACACAAAAATATAAACGTAGTGTTGTAAATAATAATCTGGCAATAGCAAAATTCTTCAGATTAGTATTGTATTGTTAATAAGCAAAACTGTACTAAAGTTCAAGAAATTTTCCTTATCATCAACACTATTGTCAATGTAAGCTGTTGGAACATTTTGTACGTACGTTTATGTAATCAGCTTAAGGGGAAAGTGAGGTTCATTTCATATTATATTTCTATCTTCTTAACAGTTTCACTCAAAAATCACTTATTTCACTTTTCTCATAACTTTATTAGTTTTCTACAAGAAAAGAATGTTGAACACTATGTTACATTGTGCTAAGACCAACAAAAATAATATCGTTTTTACCTTTTAAATTCCCAATTTGCTGGTCTTCATTAATCTTAAGAGTCCAAAGTACTTTTTCATTACCACTTAGTAATGTATCAACTTCAGTTATTTGCATCCATCCATTAGCAGGCTATGGTATTTTTCTTCCCATAAAATGATGAATTACTTGACCTTCGTTATCAAGAACTTCCTCGTTAAATTCAAACGTAAATGGTGGAAACTTAGTTCCAAGAATATCCAAATTTAAATGATGTTTTCGATCTGTCTTAATAATCTCCAAATTTCCTTCCACTCCTTTAGTGTAGCCCTCTTGCAAATGATCATTAAACTGTATATCGTTTATCGTGTATTCACTGATGAATACGACAGATAAATCAAATACTTTGTTTTCTAACTGTGGCAACCTTCGATGAAATACAAAAACACGGCACTTGAAAGAATGATTCAAATGACTGAGGACTCGATGTTCGTCCAAAAAATTTCCAGCAAGGTAAATGTAGAGAGCACTTTTTGGAATATTTATGCTGATCAACTTTCTTACGACATCAATGTTGACATCACTTGTCATGTTCCAAGTAATGGACTCTGCGTTGTCCATGTACGAGCCACAAAAAACGTAAGTGTTCTCCACAACCAATGCGGTCTCATGAACACGTACGCTCAAAATAGCAGGACTGTGAAATATTATGCCCTTTGGAAGACATTTCAGAGAACAAAGAACTTTCAGGGATTTTTCGTTGTTCAAATGTAGTGGTATATTCCAGAAAGAAACACCATTATTCTCTTTAATCAACTTTATCATCGTTGGTTGAGCTACACAATTTGTATCAAGAGTCAGCTTAATGTCATCCAATTGTACAACACCACCATCTGCAGTTACTAATTTCTCCACTTTACGAAAGCTACTTAGATCACCTAAAACTCAGAAAATATATTCTAACTTTGTAAAACAATCACAAATAATATAAAATATGTAATTTAAAATACGAAATTTTCTCAAACATGAATACCACTGTGTCATGAGTAATGAACCATATGAATTATGTACAAAACTGTATTTCATGTAAGAGTTTAATCACTCTGGTTACTCTACAATGCAGTTCCAAAACTATATAACCGTATGCGACCTGTTGTCACAAAGTGAAACAAGTCAACGCGAACCAAACAGAGTCAAGAACATTCTACAATGCTCAAAGAATTTTGTCTCACCTTGCTTTAGCTTGTCCACATCCATATGTGAAACATCAAAAACAGACTTGTTTTGCTCTGAGAAATCTGATGTTTTATTTCCCTTTGTTTTCCTTTTATCATCTACAATTTTCAAAACTGGACTGTGAATTATTGCTGAAATTTTAAAAGATTGACTAGGTTCAAGATATCGAACATTTTGCAAATCAATAACGCTGAAAAATATTTTGTCAAACTAAATTGTATATTTCAATTCAAATCTAAGAAAAACAGCTACTTTTATAAGTTAAAAATATTTTAGAATTGAAATACAGTTACAGTTTTGAATGTTTTCAGTTTTTTTGTAGCGATTATTGATATATTATACAATATCCATGTTAAAACTATCTTACGTTTTAGCTATTTATTTTTCAAACTCTGTTGGCAAAGAATAAATGGTAAATATTAAAAATTTAAGTAGCTATGAAAAATTCGAAACTATGAAAAATTCGCACTTTTGCAAGAAGTCAATCAATTCGAAATAAATCGTTATGTAACAACAAAATTGGAGGAAACATCCATTTAGAGAAAGTCGAGCCATTTGAACTCTGCAGAATGCAAATGCAAACATCCAAATGCAAGTTTTGCAGTTAATTCATGCAAGGAGGAAATTGTCCAGCTTATATAAAACTTTGCAGAAAATAAAATTGCTAAAGTAATGTCGGTGTTATCTGTTCCCAGAAATCTGCGAAGCATTAGTTTATAACGAACTCAAAAAACTAAAAACTAAATATACTATTATAAAAACTAAAAATACGGCTATGATCTTAAACATACTTCGGGCAAAACCATGGTCATCTGAAATGCAATCAACAGGGCTTACTTCAGAAACATATCGATTAAAATTGACTTTTTGATCTGTCATCACATGTTCACCGCACGATGACAAGCTCGCAAAAAATGCCCAGTGGGAAAAACTACCAAGCTATTTAGGGGATGAATAGTCAGATATTCAGTTCTGTTCGACTGGTTCATTTTAAAAGCAATTGTATATATTTTTAAAGAAATCAGTCGGGCAGAGCTGAAAATATGAATCTTCACCTACGCAGTCAGAAAAAAATGCGATCGTGTTGTATTACAACTCGTTGTAAAATAAGCCCATTTCAAAAATCATATTTAAGGAGATGCACCAGAATCAAGAATGCATTACCAAACTACCTAAGAGGCAACAATATGAGCCTTAGTCAGTTCAAGAAAACTCCTTGGCAACATTATGAATTATCATTAGAAACGATTTTTGTGAAGTTTATAATCAAAGAACATGGTAGTTTATAAGTCTGTCTTATAACAAATCACGTGAACTGTCTAGTAAAATATCGTGTTGTTTTTAATGTTTGTAACATTACGTTTTAAGATTTCAGAAATCGGCGAAAGCTGTAGCATTTACAGTTTAGTAAACACTTATAATCGTAAGAAAAAATTTTGTTCTCACCTTCTCTTGCTTCATCCACATCCATATGTAAAACATCAATGGCAGACGCTTCTTGTTCTGAGAAATCTGACGTTTCATTTCCCTTTCTTTTACTGTTTTTTTGGTCATCATCATCCTTATCTATAATAATGAACACTTGAGCGTGTAATTGTAATTAAAAAATTTAGTTTGTATTCCTAATAAAAAGCATCCAGCAGTATTCGATATTGAACAAATACAAGTCAAGTTTTTTAATTTTTATTTGAAATTTGAATTCTTCTTTCAATGTAGATTCCGAACCAGTCATCAGAAAATCAGCACATTAATTCTGACGCGGTTATACACACATGAAAAACATGTTTTCACACAAGATTTAAACTTGCACCATTGGAAGCTCTATTTTTCGAAGGCTATCTTCGCCGCCATCTTTATGAAAGCAAAAAGCGAAGCCGAAGAAAAAATGTTGCAAAACATTGTTTTTCTCATTATTGAAGACAAAAATTTACTAACATATGAATTGTGAAAACTTTTCCATGAACATAACACAAGCGTGCTTTAAATTAACAAAACTACGCTGTATAGATGCCAAATCAGCTTCATTCAATCATATGGCTTTTGTAATGGAGTTATCATTCCAATTTTTTTGAAAAAGTTAACTGGCACGACCTGTTGTGCTACCAAGCCCACAAGGATTGGAGACGAGTAAATCTCTTGTAAACTGAATATGGACGAGACACTCTAGCCACTATACGTCTCTTAATGGCAACGTATTTTGACTTTATAATAAAACTATTTGTAAAATTTGATGGCGCACAAAAATGATAAATCCATAAATGGCAGATTACATATTGGCCATATGAAAACTATATGCGCATGCAGGGGCTTATTAAGTGCATGGAGAAGACAAAAATTATACAAGACAAGTTCTCATACCGTCATTGCTCATGGATTCAGTTGAGTTCTTTTCTTCAACATTCAGTTTCCACTTCAAAACTTTGTTTCCACTTTGTGAGTCAAGTTCAGTCACCTCCAAATATCCTTTAGCAGGAAAATTTACTTGAATTCTACTAAAGTGATCAACAACGTAGCCATCCTCATCAAACTTTGCAATGTTTATTCTAAAGGTGTATGAATCAATCTCCTTTCCAGGAAATTTTAGCTGTATTTGATAATATCGATCAGTGTTGATGTCATTCATGTCTTCATTATTATCATTATTTTCATGGAAGTCTTCACAATCATTGGCCAATTTCAACATTGAAAACTCCACAAACTTTTCACGCACGAAAGAGCTGACAAAGACAACTTTAATATCTAATGTTCCCGTTTTTGATGATCTTCGATGGAATACATATGCATAAGCGTGAAAAAATTGGTTAAGATGACATAAAATACGAGGCATGTCAAAAGGTCTAGCTGTAACGAAGATGTATGAAGAAAATGTGTTTATGTTTATCAAAATCCTCTTTTCATTCAAATCAATGTCTTCCACCTGTTGCCATTCCACTTTTTGCTCATCAATCGAATAGGATCCATAAAGAGCAATTACCTTTTCCAAAGCTGTTTCTGAGGATCCTCTCTTCCCATTGATGTTAATTTGCAATTGAGCAGGCTTCGAGAAATGTACGCCGTTAGGAAGACATTGCAGATGACATATGCTACTTTGAAGAAGTTCCAAGTCCAGCAAACTTTTGATGTAGCTTGGATTGTTAACCTTGACCAACTTTATCATTGTACTGTCTTCTAAACAGCCAGCACCAATTTCAAAGATAACGTCCTCCATCATTAAATTGCCACCACCAGAAGTGACCAGTTTTTCCAGTTTACAGGACGCTGCCTTTGTATCTAAAAATTTTATAACACTTACATTCTTCAACTCCTTCGATTCCATCTCACTGTTTCCAGAATATGCTCACCTTTAGACAGTAGACTTAAATTTAATGAATGCGCTTTTTGACTCACTTGCTTTTTTAGTTCAGTGAAGTTACATTTTACGAAATGGCCGGATCACACATAAACATACATATCTCAATACAATAAAATATCGATTGTTGCTCCGTTAGCTGCGATAAATGCGGGTGGGAGTGTCAGCAAATATTCATGTATGAATGCTATAATTCGCAGAAAACAAATTATTTCATAGGATATAAACACAACAAAGCATCCATACATGAATATCGCCGCCGTAAATTACTGCGCTAGTGGTGACACTGAAACTCTTATGTACTCAACTATTTCTAGATTTTGAAAATTTTCTTAAACCCCCATGATTTTTTACCACTATAAAATTGAGAACCACTATTTTAATTATCAGTAATTTCACTTTTTCAATGAATAAAACAGTGTGCTTTCTATCATGTTTTATGCATTTCAAGCACAGACTTTTACGATACGTGAGGTTAACAAAGGACATAACGTTATAAGCAACAATAATTGTTAATTTCATACCTTTATTCAAAGATGAAAATGATTTTATTCTTTTAAAAGCTTCACTTTCACCATCAAACTAAAACATCGATCATTGAAATGTAGCTTCATTCACAATTCACCAGATAAATGAAAAAGATTTATAACTAATACTAACTTTATTAATATCTAACTATTACTAAGTAAATTTATTACTACTATACTAACACGTCGTGAACTTTCAATGATGTGTCGACATTTTTAATGTCGCGCCGTTTAAATTGTCTTAAAATAAAGAAACTATGTTTTCCGTGTATACATTATCTGTGTCTTTTCCAATGCTGTTTATAAGTATTTATCAAGTTTGTACGTGTCTTGATTGGATTTTAGGAGCGTATTTTTTAACTGTTTGAAGAACGTTGATTGCTTTGACTGCAGTGTAGGAGTTTATCCTTTTTTTTGGTGTCCTTTTTTATCCAGATTGAGCTTGTTTCTATTTTCTCGAGGTAATATAAGTTGTTAGCAGTATATGCTCCTCGCTACTCAACACAATTTATGCAGTTGCTTTCCGTTATGTTGGCGGAAAATTTCAATGAAATTAACAATCAAACTCAAAAGCATTGTACAAGTGTGCATAGTGATTGTCATATCTGCTCCAAATGAAAATCATATGATCATAATGCAACCAATCAGAGGATACAAACGATTATAGCCACATAATAGATATGATAATAGATATTTAAAAATGCAGACTACTGAACTTTCAACTTATATTATATTACCACATCTGAATTTGCGTGTAATTTTGAAAATTGAGAATTCGGTAACATTTTTGGTTCAAGTAATCTATTATTTTATAGTTGACCATCCCAAATTAAGAAAAATTAAAAGAATAGTTTTAGAAATTTGTTTAGCATATAGTATTGCAGGTTTTATGGTTTTCGAGTTCATACTCACTAAACTACCGTTGTTTCCTGGAAAATCTTTCTAAAAGTCTACTGTTAGAAGTACAGTAGACTTAAGACAGATTTTCCAGAAAAGAACGGTAACTAGTTTAAAAACAAGAAGCGAGTAAGTAAATATTATTAATTGAATATACCTGATTGGTGGAAGAAAAAATTTGATCCAAATCAAGATTTATTTCTCCAAGGTATTTCTTTAATAAATGTCGATCGAAATCTATTCGTTCATTAAAGATCTTTAAAATTTTTTTAGCCTTTGCGAAGGGATTTGGAAAACTTTTGTGGTTAACAGTAATTTCATCACGTATGTGTAAAGGTATTTCTAGAAGACCACCCAGGACATTCCAATCAGTTCCAACTTTCTGACCAATTTTTTCGATTTCCTCTGTTATCAGTTTAGTGTATCTAAGATCAGTTAAATGTAGCAAGAGAAACATGTAAAGAAACACCGATTTAGTACACATCATCAGAAGAAAACCGTGAACGTAAAGTCAATACACATGGCACCGAGGATGCAGGGAGTGATACAACTACTAAGAAGCTCCTACCCTATATAAAAATTTACGATAACACAGACCGTATAATTTTGGCAATGTTTTTATTGGTAGAAATAAGCTCTTTCATACGAAAGACGCGAAGTCTCGTCATCAATGATGATCAAACCGTAATATCATCTTGGCTGTGGAAAATTACCCAACAATTAGGTCCTCTGTACAGTGGTCAGTGCTACAATATCTGAGAAAGTATGATACATCCATCGAGTTCTGTAAGCGATATTTCAGCAGCAGCGTTATTAAACACCCCCTCCACCAACCCACTAACATTTATAGTTTCGGTCCTGTATACAGTGGTCCGTGCTACAATATCTGAGAAATCATGATACAGCCATTGAGTTCTGTAAGCGATATTTCATCAGCAGCGTTATGCTTGCGCAATCGGGAGGTTAAGTCGTAAGTGGCTTGGTCTGATTCACGTGCACTTTTTAATGGAAGTCATCAAGCCAGTTGACAATCATCAAATAAGACACAATTTGAATTATAAATGAGATTTTTGGACTCATTTTCTCTTCTAATATAGTCGAAATAATTATATTTATTTATTTTGAGATCAGTGGGAATAATTTATTGAAATCATTGAATAAAGTTGTTGATTTTAATTTTTGCGAGTAGTAACGTTATTTGCTTATCTATTTTGGGAAATTTTCTAGTAGAAAAAAACTGATACAGCAACTTTTATGCTCTATGCAGCTTTCAAAATGCAATTCTGAGTAAAAAGTATTCAAAATTTAAGCTAGAAAATGATCTTTGTAGACTTTTGAATGATGTTAACACTGAAGAAGTAATCTCCAGTATACTTAGCAAAGAGAGAGCTCAAAAAAAACTTGCACTTTTCTGTAAATTTAGAATTTAGAAGATCGTTTAATAAATGTGCAATTTAATGCTACATTATTCATAATGAAAATTGTAAATAGCCTTCTTTTTATTGTAGAACTTTGAGAATTCACCTTGTCAAATTTACTCATTTTCCATGTGATTTGGAGGTATTTTTATTACAATGAACAGGAATTCTTATTTATTGAAGTATGGCGAGCATGTCCATTGGATGGTGGCCGTTCTTTGCCTAATTTTCAATGTTATTAGCTAGGTAATGTATGCATGGTGGTGAAAACGTGAAGTATGACAGTATATCCAAAAGATAGTTTGTTGAGAAGTTTTTATGATTAGACAAGCAGAATACGAATAAACGTTACTTTGAAAAAATAGATTGCATGATGTCATTATCACCTCATGATCATCGGGCAATTGATACGTATGGCGGTCGGTCGCAAAATTAGGCTCTCTGCGAATGTTTGTATATTTCTCTGCATCTATTTGTCTTTTTCAAACTACAAGTCCTTACATCTACAGACGAACACTTCACTAAATGACAGCGATGTGTATTTTGTTTCAAAAAAGAGCTGCAGGATTGAAATTTCACGAAATTTACGACAACAGAGGAGTCGCTACATCGCCCGGCAAAATGGCGCTGCTTCAACGAAGTTAGCTAAAGTTTTGAAGATAACGCAGCTGACTTTTTTTGCTTCGGCTGCCATCATTCTGTCTGGCGACGTTTGTCCTCAGCCTGGTCCTCTAAACCATGTGGACTTTGATGTTCCATCATTCAGTATCAAAGCCAATGGCCTGTCTATAGCTCATCTCAACGTTAGAAGTATAACCGGTAAAATCGACCAACTAAATCTTGTTATGAGTAACATCAAAGGCCCCGATACCTGAACATTCTCGGAGACCTGGCTCTCACACAGTATTCAGGAAGAGGAAATTCACATACCGGGATACAATTGTGTAAGACGAGACCGGGAAGGAAAGCAAGGGGGAGGTGTAGCAATTTATTGCCGCGAAAGTTTAAATTTTATCGAGCAAGAAGACCTCATGAATGCAAATGAGTCTGTCTGGATTAAAATATACCGAACAAGGTGCGAGCCACTCATCATCGGCAATGTCTACAGACCCCCAGATCAACCTGTGGATATCTTTTTGGATAGTCTAAATGATTCTCTGTCTAAAATTGATTCTACTAGTGATAAAGTTCTTCTGGGAGATTTCAACATTGATTTCTCTGTCCAACAGAAAAATGCAAATTTTTCGATGAAACGAAGACTCCGGGGAATTACAGAGGCTTTGACCTAAAACAATTGATAAAGGAACCGACACGCGTCACCGAACATTCTGAGACGCTAATTGACCTAGTGTTTACAAACGCCAACCACAAAGTTGTCGAGTCTGGAGTTTTTGATCTCGGACTTAGTGATCACTCGCTTGTTTACTGTGTCCTTAAATCCGGTCGTCCCCGAGTTGCTCCCAAAACTATCGAATATCCTTCACACAAGAACTACAACAAAGACTCTTTCAATGAAGATCTTGAGAATATTCCCTGGCATGTCGTTTTTAATAACACCGACAACCTGGACGACTGTGTTAATACATGGAATAAGCTGTTCTTGGACGTCGTTGAAGCCCACGCACCAATTAAAACC